TTAGGGTTACGTTTAGCGTTAGGTTAAGGGTTAGCAGTACGTTTAGCGTTAGGTTAAGGGTTAGCATTAGGTTTAGGGTTAGGTTAAGGGTTAGGGTTAGATTTAGGGTTACGTTAAGTACGTTTAGGGTTAGGTTAAGGGTTAGCATTAGGTTTAGGGTTAGGTTAAGGGTTAGGTTTAGGGTAAGGTTTAGGGTTAGGTTTGGGGGGGTTAGGGTAAGGTTTTCGCTTTAATTTTACATTTACTGATCACAGCACGATGTTTTCGTCGCGCTGTGATGACGTCACGTACACACTTTCGTCGAGCGCGCTTTTGTCTACAGCGGTTTTGTGGTGGAACCCGTTCCATTAGGAGAATGGAATTTGCATTCTATCCCATACTAAAAATTCCTTTCTGTCTCTTCCAAAGCCCCTTAGCATTGGTGCAGACAATTCTGTATATGAGAGTTCTATGTGAAATTGGATAACATTTTGGATTGGAGTATGTCCTTCATAACAGTCATTATTCTGAAAAACTTGAGTATGAATGCCTCATTGCAAAAATGAAGCAGCCTAAGTTTCATTTTTCATTCTTTTTCTTTTTTCTTTTAAGGATAAACGTTTCTCGATTTTAAGTCATGGTGGTGGTGATGCTCTTTAGATAAGTCATGTGACTTTATTTACAGACTGGATCATTTGCTGGAAATAAAGATTGTTTCGTGGTTAAGTTGATCATGAAATGCCATACCCTAAAAATATTTGTGTAAAGCCTTATTCCTTTGCAAGCTAATTCTAAGCAGAGTTGGAAAAAATTGCTGTCATCTGCCTGGAAATTATTGGATGGCGAAGCAACGCATCTCAGTCAAAAATTAATTTTCTTACTGATATTTTTTCAATTAGAAATAACTTTTTGCAGGGAGGATAAATGGATAATTTCTGGATCGCATTTCTTTGGGTCCTCTTAACATTTCTAAGGGACACAGAGGCTCAGTGGCTAACACGCTGGGCTTGTTGATTAGAAAGGTCAGCAGTTCGGCGGTTCGAATCTTCGGACAGTGCTGGCTCTTTGGCTTTGAAACGGAGATGAGCACCGCCCCCTAGAGTCAGGAACGACTAGCACATATGTGCGAGGGGAATCTTTACTTTTACCTATGTCCTGATGGAAAACCATTCATCAGTCAAAAAATGACTTGCCTCCAGAAGTTGTGGAAGCCCCAACACTGGAGATTTTAAAGAAGGGATTAGACAACCGTTTGTCCGAAGTGGCATTGGGGTTTCCTGCTTGAGCAGGGGGTGGTGGACCAGAAGACCTCCAAGGTCCCTTCCAACACTGTTATTCTGGCCCAACACCCATCCAAGGATGTTTCCTCCTCCCTTGAGTCTGGAAACCCCCTGATGAAGCAACTTCCTGTGATGAAGCTTCACCCAGGAAGCTTTTGCCAGTGAGGGGCAATATGTTGGGATCAAAGGATTTCGGGGAGGGGGGGTGGAGCTTTGAAACACTCCCAAGCTAAAGCTCCTTTTCGCTTTGTTTCACTCCATGCTTTGGCGCGGTGCTCCCTGGAGGTCAAATGAATCAGCGACTAGACCGGTCTCCAGCTGTGATATACGTCTAAATCTGCAGAGAATAAAACACAGAATGGAAACACCACTCCCTTCAGCGTGAAGCCTCTTGGGCTTTTCCTCGTCCTGAACTACTTATTATCCTGGTCTTTCTACTTTTTCTTTCTTTCTTGATTTTGCACTTTGCCCTCTGTCTCTTCAAGAACAGGCCTGGGCTTTTATGTCAGGCTAATTCTAGTTTTTGTGCGGTTACACACACAGGTGGTGGCTGCAGTACTTCAAACTCTCACGGCACTATTCTTCTGGCTACCTCACAGTCGCCGCGAATGGAAATGGATGGCGTCCCCTTCGCACCTACTTTTAACTACCTCCCTCCAAGGCGCGCTTCCACATTTCGTCTTATCTCTGGAGGGACTTGAAGTTCCTCAACAAAGTGAATGTGTTGAATGATATCCCGAGAGAGTGTGTGTGTTTTTTTTTCCTGTGGAAGAGAATGAAAAAAATATAGATATCAGAATTCAGGTGGCTCAACGGCTAAGACGCTGAGCTTTTCAATCAGAAAGGTCGGCAGTTTGCCGGTTCGAATCCCCAGCGCCATATAACGGAGTGAGCTCCTGTTAGATGTCCCAGCTTCTGCCCACCTAGCAGTTCGAAAGCACGTAAAAAATGCAAGTAGAGAAATAGGGACCCTCTTTGGTGGGAAGGTAACAGTGTTCTGTGTGCCTTCGGCATTTAGTCATGCCGGCCACATGACCACAGTGATGTCTTCAGATAGTGCTGGCTCTTTCGGCTTTGAACTGGAGATGAGCACTGTCCTCTAGAGTCAGGAACGACTAGTACACATGTGCAAGGGGAACTTTTACCTCTTTACCTAAGTTAAGAACTCAAGAATTCCCAGCCTTATTCTCATCCTTATAGAAGTTGCTTTCTGACTACACATGCACAGCGACAGTGATGAAATTCCAATTTTTTTTTACTACCGGTTCTGTGGGCGTGGCATGGTAGGCGTGGCAGGGGAAGGATACTGCAAAATCTCCATTCCCACCCCACTCTGGGGCCAGCCAGAGGTGGCATTTGCTGGTTTGACCGAAGTACTCAAAATTCCCGCTACCAGTTTTCCAGAACCTGTCAGAATCTGCTGAAATTCACCCCTGCACAGAGACATACGTATATGTTTCTGCGTATATTACTAATTCTGAATAAGACTGCTTGCAAGTCAGCGCAAAGATTTTAGCAGATTTCAGAATTATAGGTAGAGGCCCAGGGGTGGGTTTCAACCGGTTCGCGGCGGTCCCCGCGATCTGGTTGGTCGCCGAACCCGGAAGTAAGTAACTTCCGGGAACGGCGAAGGGCCCCCCCCCGTGCCCGCGCGCCCGCGCCCGCTCCTTACCCGGTTTTG